CTCTATCTATCTATCTATCTATCTATCTATCCCCACCCACCCCCTCTATCTATCTATCTATCTATCTATCTATCTATCTATCTATCTATCTATTCCCATACACATACACCCCCTCTATCTCCATGTGCACTGTCTATGTATCTGTGTATCCTCACACACTCCCTCATCCATCTCCCTGTCCCCATAGAAACCCCTGTGTCTCCTCTGGTTCCTGTGTGTACACGCCAGACGAGCAGTGCTCACCCAGGGCTCCCTCCCACCGTGGGGGCCCCAAGCAGATTTGGGGCAGGGCGCCAAGCATGGGCCAAGCAGCGTTTGACTTGCTGGGGCCTAGGGAGGAAAGCCGCCCCTCACATCACCCATCCTCCTTCTGCCACTGCCTCCCTCTGCACCAGGCTCCCCCCCCCCGCCGTGTCTCCTCTGGGCCGGAAAGGAGATTTCCATCTTCCCCTAAAGCCCCTGGATTGGCAAGGGATTTGCTGGGGGACAGCGTATTTAATACCATAATTTGCTTCAGATCAGCATCCCCCAGGGCCAAGACTCTTAAGCAGGCGGGCCTGGCAGGTGGCTGGCACCTGTTCTCCCGCCCTTTGCTGGGATTACAAAATGTAGCTAACCACAGCAGCTGTGAACGTCCCCGAGACCAGCCGTAAGCCGCGGGAGACCTGGAACGCAGCTCTCTATATCCTGCTGCATTATTGTAGGGTCTCTCGCTAGCTGTTGACTGCATGGGACGATTTGTTATTGTAGGGTCTCACGCTAGCTGTTGACTGCATGGGACGATTTGTTATTGTAGGGTCTCACGCTAGCTGTTGACTGCATGGGACGATTTGTTATTGTAGGGTCTCACGCTAGCTGTTGACTGCATGGGACGATTTGTTATTGTAGGGTCTCTCACTAGCCATTGACTGCATGGGACAATTTGTTATTGTAGGGTCTCTCACTAGCCATTGACTGTATGGGACGATTTGTTATTGTAGGGTCTCACGCTAGCTGTTGCCTGGGGCCTGGATGCGTCCTCTGGTTTGCCTGGACCTGGCCCCTGAGTCTCGGGTCCCCCCCAGAATTGGGGAGCGTATGCTGGCACTGCAGCCCCCCACTATCCCACTGGGCTGGAGCACACAAAATCCACTAGGCAGGGCTCCCCTAGGCTCAGGTGTGCGAGGGAAATGCAGGGGGTGTCTCTTTCCTGCTCGGTTGGGGCCACATCAGTGAAGGTTGAGGGGTTCTTGGGTTGTAGGTTTTTGGTTTTGGTTTTTCACTTGTGTGCGGCCTCCGACTGATTCTTCTGTGGGTCAGTGGCCCCCAGGCCAAAAAAGGATCCCCCCTGCTCTCCGACAAAGGATAAATGGGCACTGATTCCTGGATTGAAAAGTCCCCGTTCTTCTACAAAGGAATTTCACCAGCCACTTCCAGCAAGATCTTCAGACATGACATGGTTTCTCTGGGCCTAAACGAAGACATTAACTGGTTGCCTCCTGCCACTAACATCTGTTTTTCCATCTCAAAAGCTTAAGTAGCCTCATTAACAGGTCCTACAACAGGCTGGTATTTCTTCTGCTGTTACATAAATCACTCGGTTTCTGTTCTTTCCACTCCAGTTCATCCGAGGAAGCGAGTTTTGCTCGGGAAAGCTCTTGACATCAAAGCCCTTTGTCGACCGCCCCGGTAAACCTCATCCCACGAGGAATAACGGGGCGATCGACAACGGGCTTTGATGTCGACCGCGGAGCGTCCAGACTAGCGCGCTGAGCCGACAAACAGCTGATCATTTAAATCGCTGCTTCATTTCCCTTTGCCTACAACCCTAATCTACATAGCTCCGTCGATGGAGCCATATAGTCTAGACACGCCTAAGGTGCCACAGGCCCGTTTGTTGGTTTTAAAGTTACCCACTAACCCAGTCACCCCTCTGAGAGTTCGTTATTGTAGGGTCACTCACAACCAACAGGCCGCCTGGGGCAGCTGGGCACCCACAAACCTTGTGCCGCTTTCTACTTATAGAGTCTTTTATGAGGACCCGGCCTAGAATGTTCTTGTTGAGTTACTTGTGAGCTTCGGGGTCTGGGTGCCAGTTCGTTTTGGTAGGGTCTTTCGGGAGAGGTGGGGCTAGCAGCTG